AATTTATATTTTGATAGTTTAGCAAATAATTTGTTGGTTTATTATAACATAGCTATTCACATAACTTTTATAACTAAGAGATCTAGAGTTTCAAGGAATATTACAATACTCATCTTTATTTCAGGGTACATATCTTTTGGTATAAACTGTGCAGTATGTGTACTAAATCTTGTTTGGTACCAATGATATTAAAGTAAAAATAAAAAAATAAAAAAATAAATTATTTAATTGATATTGCATATTTTCATTGTCAATTTGGGACATTGTCAGTATATTTTATATATATAAATCGTATTGATAAAGAAATCTAATAATTTTTTATGGGGTAATTAATTTATGAAAACAATGTTAGAGGTTACTGATAGGAGCTTAAATTTTTAAGTAGAATACGAAATTTATATAACTAAAATATGAGATTTATAATATAATGATATTGTATCGTGATGCAAGTGAATGGGTACTTTCATATATTGTACATCAAACTGAAATGAATATATGGTATGCATATGCAAGTGAAAATATTTACATTCAGTTTTCAAATATGAGGACTTGTAAATTAGAACAGTATAAATTCAAATTTGACATGGATTGATTGTGTGTTAAAATCAAAGGGAATGGTAAGTTAATTGCACGTTTATTCTTATGTTAGTAGATAATTGAACATCAACTATATTTTTTCTTATAAAAAAATGCAATATTTAAAGAATGGGAGTGTATGCATGCATATCTCGTAGAAAAAAATTATTCTCAGCTGGCTTGTGAGTAGAGTACAAAAACAGTTTCAAGTGATAATAAATTGATGATGAAGGAAGCTGTGAACAATAAACAAGTGCAATTGTTTCCCTTCTCTAAAGAGACCAAGTTCCAAAGTTGTCATGGAACCATCACTTAGTACCTCTCTTCTATGTAGAGAAATTATTATATGTGACATGATCAATAAACCCATCAAAAATCAATTTTAAAATAAAGAAAAAAGTAACAAATTTGAAATTTAAACAAAGAAGAGGCTTAGAAAGCCAATCCGAATATAAGGAAAATTCTACCTCTAGGATGTTCCTAATCCATAGCCAAACATTCACCTTAGCATTGTCCAAGATGTGGTGAATCGGAAGACTAGTCTTGTTGAAAATAATGTCATTTCGATGTCTCCAAATGGCCCAAACAGTAGCAAACCAGATAATACTCCAAGCTTTCCACCCTTTGACTAATCCCAAATGATTTAAATAATGATGAAAAGAATTCTGAGGCAATGTAAGAGTGATGTTCAACCAATTATAAATTGACTGTCAGACAGAGTAAGTAACTTTGCAAGATGAGAAAAGATCAATAATTGATATTAAAGTAATGATTTAAAATTAAATACATTTATTCTAAAGGTGACTACTTTTGTTTGGAGACTTTTCCAAGATAGAATTCCGACTAAGGACGCTCTTGCTAGGAGGGGATCTCTTCACTCATGGGTGATGGCCTCTTGTGTTCCTTTTGCAACGCACATTCAGAATCTCCTCACCATCTATTCTCTACTTGCAAACTTATCTATCAGGTTTGGCAATTGTTTTATAAGTGATTGAATATTAGTGTTGTTCTGCCTCCTAACACAATTCATCACTTCCTCCACCACATTGGTTTGATCAAGGACATAAAATATTGGAAATTCTGGGGTGTCATTTGGTCGGCTACAATTTAGGCGATTTGGTTAAGTAGAAATAATCTTATATTCAACAATGTTTTGCACTTGCCTCAACAAATTCTGGATTCAGCTAGAGTCAAATCTTGGCTTTGGATTAAAGGTCAAAATGGGGTGGACTCCAATACACAATACTCTGATTGGATTGATATCCTTCTACTTGTTTGAATAGTGTGATGTAACTTTCCTTTTATTTTTTCTTTGAACATTGTAAATTTCCATCTTCTTCAATAAAAATTCTTTGGCTTATCAAAGATAAAAAGTGGACTCTAAAGAAAATATATATAAATGAATAATAGATGATACAATATTTCTATAATATTACAAATATTAGACTCATAATTATATGCCTCAAATTCATTTCCCAAACACAATCACATCCTAAAGACATGGTCTGATATCTATTTACTCTCTCTCTTCTTCAATTTCAAATGCCAAAAGATCTCTATTATTACTGTGAATCTGGATAGAGGTAGCTCATAGCATCACTGATCACACCTTTTTTCCTAACATGGTTTCTGAATTTTCAACAACTTTAAAAAGCTCCATAAATACATTACACTAAAACACACATGTTTTCAGACAGAAGCACTCTCTATCACACACATATATAGCAGAAGAGGATAGAAACACCGTTTCTTATATGTTTCTCTTTTTCCCATGGCATTAGTTTGCATCATCTTATGCATGCAATATATCTGAGTCCTCATGGTAATGGAAGATGGTCATATATAATCTCTCTACTCGCTAGAAGTAATAAGATGGTCATATATGTTATAAGTTACTAAAGTCAAGTTTATCAAATTAATACGAGTTTACTGACATAAGTTAATTTATCAAGTATCAACATGTAATTTACTTTTTGTTAAATAAGGTAGTTAATTAGTTTATAAGTTATTTGATGGTGTTACCAAACATTCTTTATACTATTGTATCTTGAGAAAAAATGTATATATTAAACGTGTATGTGTTTTATACATTGTCAATGTATTATATATCCATTGTGCATATTTAATCATGATTGACACTTTTGATATATACCTTAGCAATTATTGGCATTTCACCCCAACAAAAACTATAATAAATTCAATAGTGTATATTAGCCAAGCCAGGCCAAGACAGGTCAGAAAACACAACTCTGACCGAGACAAAAAACTCATTTGGCTCGGTCAGACACTCACATGCTAAGGTCACATGCCCAGGTTAAGCCCGGTCACAAAACATGCAAGACACAATCACACGCCAAAGTCAGACTCGGTCATGCCCCAAGCACCACACGGTCACGACGAGCAGGATGACTCCGTCACACGCCAAGTCTACAGCACCTTGTCCTGATGCACTCGGTCAGTAGCCTCCTAAGCATGGCACAGTCACACAAGACAACATGACTCAGCCAAAGGCCACACCTAAAGCATCATATGGCCCAGCTCACTCGGTCAGAAACCCAAGTCAACTGCAAACAGGAGTGGGCATCAGGTTTCTTGGCACACAAGCAACTAATCTTATCATCATCTATAATCTTTATTGATAAGATATTTTAGGCATATTTAAGATTAGATAAGATATATTTCCCATGTATAAATACTCTCATTGCTTATCCATGTAATTCAATGAATGAAAATACAATGAAAGCTAATTGCAATTTGATTAAGTTTCATAACTACTTTTCAACATTTCAACATCACTCCAAAGTTCTTCTTTCATAATAGAGTACATTGATTATTTAATTTAAAATGTTGCTCACATCATATAATTCATTTAATGATGCAAAGAAATTTAACCATTAAGTTGTTTTATTACCTTTTCTTTACGGGATAACTGTTAATTTACCTGAAATACATTATATCATGTTCATGAAAATGATGCCTTTTTCACAGCGAATAGTGAGGTTATATCCCTAGCTAGCTTCCCCATAGTTTTCACCACTCTAAACCGAATAGGGGTAAATTCAAAAAAGCTGAAAGCGGTTTCAGAATTGAGGGGACTTTTTAGAGTTTGAAAGGGTAGAAAGACCTAGAGGGGTTGAACAAGCTAGTTGCAGATAAAGAATTTCACTTGTGATAGGTTTTAACTGTTCCAGCCTCATCCTAATGCAGCTTTCTTGTCCACGTGAAATAAACATTTGGGGTTTTGATTAGACAGTTTAATTGTATACTACTAATAATAATATCCATATTACCTAGTAGTCTGTGAAATATTAATGGTAAAATATAAAAGAAAGTGTTGGTTTCACACAGAAATTAAGTTCTTTTTTCTTTCTATGTTGGATGTTTCCCATGTGATATTTGTGAAGCTTCTTTATTCATTTCTTCCATGTAACTATAATTAGCCTTAATTTAACACACCTAAAAACTAAGGAGACCTCAAGATTTGTTTCTATCTCTCTTTATCTCTGTGACTCAGAGAGAGATAAATAAATAGAAGAATGTTGGAGGTCCGAGTCTCGACCCACAACAAAATACTAACATGCTAACATTTGCCGATAAAAAATAATAAAGAAATAGAGGGTGGGATTAGTTTTCTTCAATAAAAGTGCTTCAGGTGTTAAAAAAGGTACAGGCGTACAGCTTATTTGTGATACTTGAGCACATGCAGTTACATTCTAATTAAAAACTTTTGATTTAGTGAGTCTGATTAAAATTTTGAAATGTAAAGAATGATAACTAAAACTTCCTTTTTATGGTGAAATGATTTTGTTGTGCTGTTTGGAAGTAAATGCAATGTTAAGTTCTAAACTGATGCACACTAAACTTATATATTTTTGTCATATTTATATACAAATATAAAGTGATGATTGAACCAGAACCAAAGTACATAAACTCATCATTTCAAGTGGTACTCTTCATTCTTCAAGCTTGGACAGAACCTGTAAGAAGCTAAGCTAGCATAACTGCACAAGGTTAGCCACAAGTATGATGAAAGCTAAGATCAAGTCAGAAAGGATAACAAAAAATACAATCTTTACAAAATATTTACAACAATCGTAGCAGTGCTATGATATCATTAGATTGAAAGTTCTGACCTTGAAAATTATAACTGTAAAAATAGCCTTTTCTGCTATATATAGCAGATAGAAATTAAGCTGAACAGAAAACCTTACAAACATGTTGTAATAACCTTAGAAACTTAGAAACTTTCACTGAAAGAATTGAGATATATTAGTACACACACTTCATAACCCTCAAGACAAACAACATTCCTCTCAACTAAACCCTTGCAGGGTTAGAATATTTAACTATACAAACATTCAAACATTCATATACATATAGTAACCTCCTCCAATATGAAGTTTGAACTTCAAAAGCAAACAAGTTTTGAGGGGAATGAAGCCTGGTCCGAAGCCTTTTTGTTCTTCAAGGCTATGAACATTGATTTGTTTAAAGCCTCGAGCCAGCCAACATTCCCCTCAACAAAAAAACCCATCTGGTGAATCAACTTTTTGTTTCTTGCCTCCATTCACCTCACCCTGAAAACCCTAACCCACATATAGGTTCTTATATAGAGAGAGGCTGTGTGTGTGAGCTAAAGAGAGAGAAAGAGGGGAGAGAGAAACCACTGACTCACACTTTCTAATAGTAAAATATAATATGATAATATATTTTTATCCATTTATTTACCCATTCATATGTTCCAAAATGAACTTAAGCATAAAGCTCAATTACCCCATGCCAAGAAGTAGTTGTAAGTAATAAAATAGAATAGAGATCGGACAGCATTACACGTCCAAAATCTTGTGATATTTTCTGACAGTCATGTCAATTAATAAAATTAAATATTCATTATTATTTATATTTTTGTTTAATTATCATTGATATGAGATATGATGTTGTTTCATTTCTTATATCATCAATTACATTGTGTTATATGATTTAAAAATTGCAAATGATTGTTGAGGTATTTTATAAACTTTTAATATTAATTTTTTATGACATAACACAGTCTAATTTTCTGAAACATAAAATGAAACAAAAACATTTTGGGAGAACTAATATCTATTTAATAAAATAATACAAAGCATTTATAGTTACTCAACATAAGTTGTAAGGAGACATTCATTGAACAATGAACACTTAAGTGATTCAAATTTTCTTATGCAGGTAAAAAAAATTCTTACCAATATCTAGAGTGAGAGTGACTACAATGTTAGGATCAAGTTTTCCCGAAATTCATGACTCCCACACAATTTTCTTTTTTCTTTTTAAAAATATGGGAGTGCAAATGTATAATGAGATCTTGTAAAATAATTGTATATTGAGCTACATAAAATTCCAAGCTAGTGTAAATATATTATAGGTGTGAATATATTATCCTCTATAGTGTGAGGTATTTTATAGGCCAAAGTACATTAATTTGGTATTTTTGTTAATGTTAAGAAAGCATGTTAAGGTCCATTATGCGATAGGAATCACCTGCTGGTGCCGGTTACATGCAATCAGCAGTTCCCTTGTGGTCAAACACACAGAAAAAGACAAAAGTATTTAAGATACAATTTACATGATAGATGTGTGTACCTTTAATATGATTTGTTCATCATTGCTTTATTATTTTTAGGTTTTTATTATCCCTATTTTCAAATTCCCATTAGTACTATACTTTACCCGCACGGTCACACAAACAATCACATATTTTCCTCTTTTTGTGTGTTTATACTTTATAGGTTTTAACGGGTTAATTAATCTCTATCATCTCTGCTTGTATTTTTATGGAGGTAATATCCCATTATTACAATCTCAATGACAATGATGATGGACAGTTAAGTCATGACCCAACCTATTGTGTGCCCACTAGCTAATACTATACTAAGAGTACTAATTAATCCTCCCTCAAAAAATTGTTAAAACATTATGACCAGTCAAATTAAGTTCAAATAATTTATGACAAGAATTTAAAATTAGACACTACAATAATGATTGAGTATTACATATATGTCTGTGAAGTTGTGAACTTTGGCCAGTAGATTAGTCCATAGATATTAAATTCATAAATTTATTATTCCTCTCTATGTCCACATGAGAAGGAGGAATAAATATTCTTTCCATTAATTGAGAGACAAATACATATATTTTTATTTATTTTTAATGACAAAAATGTAATTTCATTATAATTATAAAGATAAATATGTCATTGAAATTTGTGTTTTACTTTACTTTCCTAACCGGAGAAGGAGGAGTGTCAGGTTTCTACTTCATGAGAACTTCACGTCAGATAAGTGTGTTTTTTCCAACCGTGTAGCAATATGTAGTAGACCTATTATTATAGTATCTAAAAATTACTGAATTCCAATAATTAGAAGAATGGAAACGAAATGATAATGCTAATGATTATGATTGCAGTTGGTGATCCTATATATATATATATAATGGGTATGGCTGTGGAAGTTGTATTCAATGTCCTAGATTTTTGTATCCTTATATCATATAGAATCAAACTTTACAAAATAATATAAAAATATTAATTTATATTTTTATAATTTTCCTTTTAAATTATATGACACATAAGACGAGACATGAATAGAGATACGTGATCTTACGTTATTCTCAAAATGTGTTCCGTGAAGCAAGTCATGAGAAAGAAGACGAATGGGGAATGAGTGAATCAGAACCGTTGAGTTCGAAAATCCAACAGGCAGGTATAAAGAAACCGTAGACCGGAAACGTCGGTGTCAGCGGGAGCGTAGGAACGGGAAAGAACCCGAATAACGAGGAGAACATGAAATTATTACCATCACCAAACACTCTATCATCTTCTGTGTAATGCAGCAGTGGCATTTAATCCTCTTGACGTGGACTACTCAAACCAACACAATATATGTAGTAGATACTAGAAAATAGAATCTCATCCCCTCTTTAGTTTACACTCTCATCCCTTCATTTCATTTCCCCTTCTTCCAAGTTCCAACCTTTTTTATGTAAAGAATATAGCTAGGACGTTTATGTTGATACATATAATGTTTTCTTCCCTATCACAAACTTACCTAAGGGGAAGTACCCATATGTGTTCGTGGTTAGTTTGGATCATATTTTAGATAAAACATAATTCAATTCAAACATATAATTAACTTAGAGGTCTGGTTTGTTTATGTTAATACATATTATATGTGATTTTGATTATTTGGACTGATTAATTTATAATAGATTGAAACTTTACACATACATTTCAAAAATCATAAACATAATTAAAATATTAAGTCTAATACATTTTAAACTGACAAGTTTACACACATTCGTGATAATATTGTCACAACCTTGTCACAATAATGTTTACATACACAAAGACATAATGCGCAAGTCCACAACTTTGTTCCTACTACCATGTTAATTTAAAAAAACAAACAACATAACTAATGTATAAATTTAAAAATTGCTATATCAAAGACCGCAACATAATTAGGCTCACAATAGTAGGTAAGGACATTAGATTTATAAGAAGATGTTCTCATTCAAAAATAAATAATTGGATATACTATCGGTTGATGTTGATTTGTTCTTTTTTGTGTGATTATATTGTATATCAGAAGAAATTAAATCTAACAACTTAATTATATTTATGTAAGGAAATCTTTATGGTATCAAATTTTTACTTATGTGTAGAATATATTACTTAGCAAACATATATTTTTTAGTCATACCAAGTGATTATTGAATCTACCATATAACTAATTGATTATTGAATTTTCATTCTAGTTTGTTTTAGAAAACTATTGAACTGAAGTATTAAACACTTTTATTTGTGCATATTCATAATAAGCCAAATTAATGTTGTCCAGTTTGGATCGGTCTGATTCCTAGTGTTGATCCAATAGCCGGTCAATTACATTCGGTTTTTACGGTTTCGGTTTATTTTGGGCGTAAATAATATGATATAACAATACTCCTTGATCAATTAAAAAAATACTTCTTTATTAATTAGTATTATTCATTGTATCTTGACCAATTAGAAAATAATTCTTTATTAATTATGTGTAATACTACTCTCTTACTTTATTTCTTCCAAAAAATTTACTTTGCACGGTTATGCACACATTTTAAGAATTTGATAAATAATGTAAAAGTTGAATATAATTTGATAGAAATAATTTCATTTAATGCATATTGAAAATTAAATTAAAAGAAATAGAGAAATAATGAGTGAAAATAGAAATAATAGACAATAATATAAACAAAAAATAATGGAAAGATGTATTTCTAAAAATATCAAAAGATTTGAAATAATATTAAAAAAAACTATAAAAATATGTAACGAAGGAAGTACTTTTTAAGGGGAAAAAAGTAAAACAAAATAATTCTTAGGTGGTGTAGTGTTTTCCTGAATGGAGATTGGAGAGTCAAACCCTAGAGCATAGAATCGAAATTGTTGAGTCAAACCCTAGTGCGACGAATCGACGGCTGAGATTCTCCGAGCACAGAATGGTGGTGGCATCTTCATAAGATTACATTTAATGCTCGTTGGTACGGCGGAGAGTGGGGCCGTCGCCAGAGGACAAGGGCACGTGGTGCGTATTCAAGAGGTGTTACCAGATATGTTTGGTTTGTGTTTAGGTGGGGACCACCATTTCAATTATCAGGTCATCATAATGCTCTTAAGTTTAGATGCTGAACACAACACTCCTATGTTGCGCATTTCATGGGCCACCTCTTACATTTATATCACTTAAAAGAGTAATAATATATCATCTTATTAATATTTTACCCACAAAAAAATGATATATGTCATAAAATGATATTTTATTTATTAGTGATTGATTTACAAGTGACATATGTCACTTTCTTATGTGTAGAATGATTATTAAAAGAATTTTGCATGAACATATATCATTTTCCAATCACCTAAATTTACTTCAAATGTAAACAATAATCCATATGAAAATGATCACTTTTATTGTGAAAATTTCCTACTAATTTTCCTAACAATAAGAGTAATGATATATCATCTTATTAATATTTTACACACAAAAAGATGATATATATCATAAAATGATATTTTATTTATTAGTGATTGATTTACAAGTGACATATGTCACTTTCTTATGTGTAGAATGATTATTAAAAGAATTTTGCATGAACATATATCATTTTCCATCACCTAAATTTACTTCAAATGTAAACAATAATCCACATGAAAATGATCACTTTTATTGTGAAAATTTCCTACTAATTTTCCTAACAATAAGAAAGTAGCATATGTCATTTGTAAATCAATCACTAATAAATAAAATATCATTTTATAATATATATCATTTTTTGTGGGTAAGATGATTAGAATGAGAATTTAGTAGAAGGATATGAATGAGAATATTATAGTATTGATTTATTAGTTTTTTTTTTAAATGGTGATGATAGTGCAATTTTATGAGGAACTCTACAATGGGACGGTTGAGTTTCTTATTTTTTGACACGTATTGTAATCATCAA